TAGGTCGACCCCGATAGAAGAGAGGTTAGGAGCCAGAAGGGGATTTGAACACCCTCCCCACTGTCAGCACTCTCCCAGCATCTCACCGCAACACAGCAAATGTGGAAGGGCTGGAAGACAGAGAATAGGGACATGTGCCTCACTGATTTGCTGATCTTGCTAAATCAGATGCCTTTTAGAAAGTGGGGAGCAAACACAGGTGCTGCCCCTTCTCCAGTTCCTGGCAAGTGAAGCACATACGTACATACAGTTCTGCTTTTCTCCTGACCTGTTTCCCTTCTGTGGAATGATGAAGGCTGATGCACCAGGGAAGGTTTCTTGTCAGGCAAGGTGTTAACACCGAACTCAAAATATAGAGTGTTTCTTAGCATGGCAATTGCCAGAAACCACTGGGTATCAAGTGAGGTGATGGACTTTGGGCATTCATGTCTGTTAGTGTCATGACTTTTGGAAGCATTCTTCATGCACTGAGCTAAGCACCAGGTGCCTTTTAATCCTCATTTCATATTTTAAACAATTTAAAAAGCCAGTCTGTTAAAAGGATTATTCAAGAAGTCTTGAAGGATTTTCATGTTTTCTTGAAACACTGGTACTATTCTTTCTTCTTGCTTACTATTTAAAAATGCATGTGCTTGGAGCTAGGAATGTCGCTCAGTGGTTGAACATGTACTTACCATGTACAAGGCTCTGGGTTTAATCCCTACCACTAAAATAAACAGATAAGGCATTTACCTAGACAAATCCAGAATGCTGGCAATTACTTGCAATTCTTAATTTGCCATTATAGTAATATTCAGCTAATAGAATAATATTTTGAATTCTCCTTTGGAAATGCATGGATTTTCATTTCTCTTTCATGCTGTTCCTGTTCATATTTACTGTGCCTTGAATTTTCTTTTTTCCTGGCAGACCTGTTCTTCCATGTTTGGGGGCATATATAAGAAAATTTTACAAAATTGATCAAAGCTCCTTCTTATGTCTTGCCCAGTGTTGCTGTACCAAAAAGTATATGACACCATTTTGGCTCTTGGTCACTTTAAATATCCTAACTCCATGGTCAGTTATATCTCAGAGTCAGAAAGTGGTGGAATGAACTAGAAGCCTTAGAAACAGAAAATTGTTGAGCTGATTCCAGACTTTAATTATTGATTTTCTAGTGATTTATTTAAAAGAATCCTATCTGCTCACACAGTTCTTAGTTCCCACACTTCTGCAATGGTGGTTTTAGCCATGCAGTACTGCAGTGGTGAGTTTAGCTATACGACACTGTAATATTGGGTCTAGCTAAGCAGTATTACAGTGATGGGTTTAGCCATGCAGTTCTTCATTGATGGGTTTAGTCATGCAATACTGCAATGGTGGGTCTATCCATGTAGGACTGCAATGGTGGGTTTGCAGCTATGGTTCATCAACAAAATGTATTTCCTTTTCTTTTGTAGCATCCTAGGGAGCGTCCATGCTTGTTTTCCTCATATTTGCACATGCTCTTTCAGAAGGAACTGCAACAGAGAAAGTTGTCAAGTGTCCCTCCATTCTCAGTGCCTTAACCAGCAGGCCCTGCCACCTTTGATCAGTTGCCCACATAATCTTTCCCTGACACTTTAAACACACACTTCGTGTGTGGATGCATATGTAATTCTTCTTTGACGCATGTGGTTCATCACAATGTTCATCCACTTGCTTGTCCCCCTTACCAGGGCGATCTTGGTCATTATCATAAGTCAGTGCATCAGGCTGCTGCTTCTAAAAGGTAGTTTTCTTCCTTTGCTCGTTGAACATGAATGTGAATTTTCATTCAATATGTTTTCACTACTGTATATTAATTATGCATAATGAGGGAAATTATTTTCATAGATGAAATAATGCATATTGATCATATTCACCCCTCATTTACCCTTTCTTGCCCTCCTCCCCAGTCATTCTAATTGCTTTCTTCTCTTCCATTTTCATGTTCTTTCTTTGGGGGGAGAATCCAGTTTTATTAGGATATCTTAGAGGATCATGGGTGGAGGCGTGCTTACAAGCCTACCAGTGGCTACAATACTGAAGAAAGTGTCTCCCCTTGTAGTAACCACTATCAGTGTATAAATCCTTAGAGAGGTATAATAGATAGATAGATAGATAGATAGATAGATAGATAGATAGTTAGATAGATGATAGAGTTTTTCAGTGCTTGACTCTCTTTTTAATGAATAGAAATGAAACAAACCCAGAATCCTTAAGATCATTGACTCTTCACTGAATCATGGACCGAATATTTCTGCTCACCAACACCCAAAACCTCCTAAGTTCAAGTTCTCTACCCCTAGTGAGTCTACATTTGGAAACAGGACTAATATGTAAGGAATTATTATGAAATAAGGCCATAAAGATGGGGCCCAGATCCATTTTGTGTTAGTATCCTTTAAGAGAAGACACCAAAGGGCTCCCTTAGTCACGGACTATGACAGGCTGAATTCCAAAGTGTTCCAAATTCCTTCTCTGTTGCTTCCCTTCCTGTTTTGGGTTTTGACACATACACAAAACAAAAAGGAGGAAGAGGGAAAGAGGAGAAGGAAGAGGAAAGAAAGGGGAAACAGATGTTGTCTAGGGATTTGTTTTGAGTGTTTGGCAGAAACTATGCTTTCAGGCCTGGCATGAATAAACACCAAATTAAAGGTCAGGCAGTCTCAGTAGCTGTTGCTTCAAAGTTAGGAAGCTATCTGATGACCTTGGCACATTCCTTTTTTATTTCTGCTTTCATGGATCCAGGAAAGAAAGCAGAAGCCAGGATGGGCCATTCCCTGTTGGGGACAACCCCTGGGAAGGCAAATGACTTGGGCTTGGCCACTGGGTGGTATCACCCATACATGGCCTCTTGTAGGTGATATTCTAGTATGTGGTAGGATTGCCAGATGTGTGGTCCAAACAAAGCTGAGTGAGACCTTTGCTGTAAGCAGTGTCTGTCCTAGAACCAAGCAAGAGGGGCCTTTGGGCTTTAATGGGTCTCACGTTGATCTGTGACTTCACCTTTGTCCACCCAGAACACATGCCCACCCTTCTAGATGTACTCTGAGTGCTGGGATCCTAGAGTTCCCTGCCCATGTGGCTCTAGCCTAATGAGAGTGATCAAACCACCACCGTTTGCATTTGGGGCCCTCAGCTAGGCTGTGGACATCTGTTTTAGAGGAACCATAGTGAGTAACCATGGGGGATTCTCAGCAGTGTTCAGGAGGCTCCTTGTAGTATGAGACAGGGTTAGGGCTGGACTGAGATGAGAAAATGTCAATAGCTCAATATTGTTTCTAATAAGTGCTTTTCAATATTCTATAATTATCTAGCTTTGCTGGTTCAGTCCCCATGGGCTGTGTAAAAACTTAAAAGACAAAAAACAAAAACAAAACCAAAAAACCCCTGCACATTTACCACCACTTTTGATAGAAATATGAAGTACTCAAGAGATTATTAATAGTGGTGCATAAAGATTTCTGGGGAAGACAGATCATAGAAATTAAGGTAAAAGAGTGACAGATGGGAAAAGTTCCAGTCAAGAAAACCAAGGAAAAGCATGGGCAGTAAGAGACGTATGGCAGTCTGGATCACAAGACACAGTAAGTGCACCATTGTGGCAATACAGGTTGGGTTTGGGTCTTCAAAACCTTGTGTTTGGAGCCTCTCATCCCTGGAGGGGAGGTGGGGATATTGATGCTACTGGACAGAAATGTGGCTCTCAAGGGATGGACCGTGACTTGTCCCCAGTTATTGCTGTTGGTCTAGTAGTGACCTTTGTAGTGAGTAAGAAGCGGAAGAGCGCTCCCGCATCTGTGTGATGAAAACAGGAAGCTGTCAACAGTCGCTGACCTTGACTCACAGTTTACCCACAGGCTCTGAATTAGCTTGTTTATTCTTCGTGACTTAATGAGCTATTGCTCCATTTTGCAGGTGAAAAAACCGAAGTGCTAGGTGGTTTATTAACTTCCCTGAGATGATGTAACTCCGGTGGGAGAGCAGGAATCTTGTTAATCTCTACAACAGTCCTCATGTCTTCCCTTATTCTGCCAGAATAAGCTCTCACATGATCGGAAAGAAAGGCTCTGCTGAGGCAGCACCTGCAGACCCGTGTCATCTTCACAGCATAGATGGGCAGTGCCACTGGCTTCTGTGCTTGTTGTAAGCCAGGAGTAGCAGAGATGAATTTTACCTACTGAACATTTACTGTTTGTGGCTTGGTTTTGTTTTCAAATGTTCTTTAGATGGCCTTCTACTGCTGTGGAAATGAAGACTTCCAGTAAATCATCTGCAGCGCTCACACAGTTAGGGGCAGAGCCACAGATTCAGTTTGATGCTTTGTGACTCCAAAGGTTCTGAAAAAAATTGTAATGACATTTATTTTCTCTCTCTCTCTCTCTCTCTCTCTCTCTAT